GCATTGTTATAAAGATTACATGAATACATGTATATGAAATTTTGTATATAGTGTTTTTATAAATGATTACCCACCAACTGATACATCCACCTGAGGGGCGGTGGAGTAGCCTAATGGTTAAAGCGTTGGCTCGTCACGCCGAAGACCCGGGTTCGAATCCCCACATGGGCACAATGTGTGAAGCCCATTTCTGGTGTCCCCCGCCGTGATGTTGCTGGAATATTGCTAAACGCGGCGTAAAACCAAACTCAGTCAGTCAGTCAGTCAGTCCACCTGAGCTACAACTAATACAGATGAGTGAAACCACCCAACCGTTAAATATTGTTTCTGTTTTCCGTATCTATTTAGACTGATACATTTAAAGTACCCAAATTATCTGTATGACAAGAGGGAAAACTTTAACTTTTTAAAAGTCAACTTTCTCATTTTGTTTCCAGAATTTCAATACTTTGGTGTATTCATTTCAAATTTCTTTTTAGATAAGATGGGGCATGCTCTTTCTTCGAACATTTCAAAGAACGCCATACGGATCTCGCTCAAAGGTTGTTGATCAGGAATCAGGGTGACAATATTAACAGATTTGGGACATACACTAAAAAGGTGAGTGAGTGAGTTTAGTTTTACGCCGCTTTAGCAATATTCCAGCAATATAACGACGCGGGACACCAGAAATGGGCTTCACACATGGTACCAATGTAGGAAATCGAACCCGGGTTTTCGGCGTGACGAGCGAACCCCGCCGCCCCTACGCTACTCAAAAGGTTTTTGGTAGACATGAATGACGGCATTTCCTCTCTTAACGCTTCAGTGATAAATAATTGTCTGATGAAAATCAACATGACAACATGTACAATATCTAGCCTTTTGAAATTTGAATTTAGAATTGTGACAGAAAAGCTTCAAATGAATCCTGTCTCCTTTCTCCGAAGGTTTGAGCTGACGTGCACGAGTTTGTAATGATTGAAAGCGATAACAGCCTTCCATAATGATGACTTACCCTTGCATGTGTTTGTGACGGGTGCCACACCGGTCCATGATGCTCTCAACTTTTTGTGAGTGAGTGAGTGAGTGAGTGAGTTTAGTTCTTACGCCGTTTTTAGCAATATTCCAGCAATATCACGGCAGGGGACACCAGAAATGGGCACCACACATTGTACCCATGTGGGGAATCGAACTCCTTCGGCGTGACGAGCAAACTCTTTAACCACTAGGCTACACCACCGCCCCTTTTGCGAATAGCTGGTGTAATCACTTTCTAGTATTCAGCGCGCATGTGCTCAGGATATGGGTTTGCTTTTGTTAGGGCTTTTATACGGCTTTGCCCTTTCTTTTGCTTACGAAAAGGGGTCTGTTACTTTAATTTAGCAGGATATTATTTTATGACAATGGAACCGTTTTTTCACATACATTCAGCAGATATTTCGGAAGATTATACAAAAGGGCGTTCTCACTTTCATTAAACAAAAAGATTTATTTTTATTATAAAAAGGGTCCTGTTACTTTAATTCAGCAGATATATGTCTGAAAATTAAGGAAACGGCTTCTCACGTTCCTTATGATTATTGAAGAAGGTTTTGCAGCTTTATTCATAACAAACCTACTTTGAATCAAATATGTAATACATATATTGAAGGTTTCTAACATTACACTGTTAGAGAAGCATGTTGTACACAGATAGACTACGAAATGTTGGACAGCTTGAACTCCCTCAGGAAGATATTCTAGTCTTAGCGTAAATGGGGAGCTCCGAGAAAATATGTTGATATGGGTTATTGTTATTCAGTACCTGTGGACCAAAAATATAAATAGATCTATTGCGAAACTCAAGGACACGCATCAATATCACTGAGTGCAACCTATTCTGTGTAGACATTCTTAACACAAGCTGGCATTGATAACCGTCTCGTGAGTTGACAAGCAAACATATAAAGACACGATTTTAAGGTAGGTTGTAAGCCGTTTCGTCACGTGTAGAGTAAGGTGAATTGTGACGAAGCACTTTTAGCTCATGTGCATGGGTTGAGAAGTTTACTTGAACGTTTAATGACGATCCCGGTTCAGGTTTTAACCATGAATCATCTAGGAATGCAGGCTTGTAGAATTGCTTGTTAACTGTCAACTTAGAATAACAGAGCACAACAAATTTGTCTCCATTTTCGACATAAATGATCTTTTTATACTCTAACTATTTTGAAGAATTTTAATTTAAAATTCAGAAAGGTTATAATGGAATCCCGCCTCCTTTCTCCGTGGACTTGAGTTGACGTACACGAAGTCGTAATCATTAAAAGCGATTACAGACTTCCATAGGTGGATCCAGTGAGTGAATGAGTGTGGTTTTACGCCGCTTTTAGCAATATTACAGCAATATCACGGCGGGGGACACCAGAAATGGGCTTCACACATTTTACCCATGTGGGGAATCGAACCCGGGTCTTCGGCATGACGAGCAAACGCTTTAACCACTAGGCTACCCCACCGTCCCAGGCGGATCAAGAGGGGGGGTCGCAGGGGTGCGCACCCCCCGTTTTGTCCTGAAAGTTTGTTCAATGACCATTGAAACTCGGGTGAAAATGAAGTGTGCACCCCTTTTCACAATAGTGTGCATCCCCCTTCCATAATGATGAGAAATGTCTGCTTTTAGCAGAGTCTTTACACCTATCTGACCATATCATAAGCATGTGTTTTTCATCAATATCAGTTGAGAGAGTGACTTTGGTTTGGCCCAAGGACAGTCAATTCAACTAAACCATTAAAAAAGTTGCGGATATTCCATTTTGCGAGCATACCACAAACCAATGCCAATGCATATGAGAATAAGTAATATATATCCATACAGATGAAACATTTCCAAAGGAATGGAATAAATTGTCACATTTTCCCTTAATTTCTCTTCATCATCTGTTTCCTCCTTGTCTTCATCATTTGCATTTGATCAATATTGTAAATCCAACATCCCCTACTTTTCTTGAATCGTATGTTACGACTAGATGTGTTTATGATTCACTAACAAACTGTGATGACACCAGGTGTTCGGGAAAAGTGAGCGTAACCCCCACCACCGTGACACCCGTCACAATTACATGCAAATCCATTCTTTACCTTTCACATACTTTATCACCAATGCGCCAAATTTGGAAATGTCCGTCACATGTCTGCCATAAAGCCTTTTGAAACTTTCACTGAGGCCTTGAATGTCGTAAACTTTGGTCAAACAACATTTGAGCAAGATGTGTGTGACGTTCTTTGAAATCTTGGTGAAAAGATCATGCTCGACTGCACCTCAGAAGTTTGAAATGTTAATAAACCCAAGGCTGAAAGTGCAGGAATATTGCTCGACAAAAAGTTGACTTGTTGAAAGTTGAAGTCATAGAATTTCCATACAGAGTTGTGAAGGGAGTTTTGTCAGTCTATATATGTACAGACAGACCTCAATATATACACATGTAAAAAAGTAACGCAACACCAATGATTTGTAACATGGGTACATTGTGTGAAGCCCATTTCTGGTGTCCCCCGCCGTGATGTTGCTGGAATATTGCTAAAAGCGGCGTAAAACCAAACTCAGTCAGTCAGCCAATGATTTGTAACCCCATTTAGCCAGTCACATCATAAGTGTCTTTGCTTGCATGATTAGTTTTACCCTCCATCAAGAATGGAACGCAATACTTCAATGTCAAATTCAACGTCTGAAGCAGTCAATGAGGAGTCGGGTCAGGGCTGTTATTTCAGTTGGTGGAGGTTATACCAAATACATTGTATTGATATTTTGCTCGGTTATTTTGTAGGATAGTAAGCCTCAATATTGAAAATGAAGGCATCAGCACTACAAAATTAGTCAATATATTTTTGGTCATGTTTCCTGCTCTGAAAAAAATTGTTGCTTCTGAAATTTTCTGATTTTCTGTTATTAGGTTTTGATTTGTCATTTATTTAATCCCCCGGCGGTCAATTTATCCAGTACTTTAAATTGACGTTTGGATAAATTAATTTACCATTGTTGATGGTCATGTGTTGATACTGTGAAATGTGGGTCGTTGCGATACCTTTTTTCCATGTGTAACAGATTTTTCGGTGCCATTACTACTACTTACTTTTAGTTAGAGCGTCAGTTTTAAGGCTATTGTACGCAAATTGTGGTTCATAATCTACATTTATTAATATTTTGTTTCTCACTGTGTACACGTATAATAAACAGTTAACCTTTTTGCGAACCCCCGGTGTTAGAGTTAAATTTTACGCCGCTAATAGCAATATTCCAGCAACATAGCGGCGGGGGACATCAGAAATGGGCTTCACATATTGTACCCATGTTGGGAATCGAACCCGGGTCTTCGGCTTGACGAACGATCGCTTCAACCGCAAGTCTACCCCAGCTGAAGTAAACGGTTTTGAGGAAAATGTTGGATACAATTTCTGGATTTTCAGAAACTGCACTTATCTTCATTTTCCAAGCATTGTAGATGTCCAAGGTTCTATTGGATATAGTTGCTTCAGGGTCTTATGGAAGACTGCATTAGACGAAGTTAATGACGAACACGTTTTAAACGAAACTGATCACAGACTGCTTTTTGTCCCGGCAACTTGTATATTTCAGTTTAAATTCGTACAACGAAATAAGTCGCCCTTTGAGTTCGTTATAACAGCAGTAGTAGTACCTAAACGTGTATGCCAAACAATATATCCGTCTGATGTTCTTGCACTTATTGTTAAATACATGCAAGTTTTACTTGGGAAAGGTAAAAAAATATCTAATTTGTAAACCCTAGTGTGCACAATGCAAACAGCATGCCCTGCCAAAGAAAGTCCCAGTTACCCAACACTCGTATTATGCAGCTCCATTTGTCCTTTTGGTTAATTCCGTAGCGTTCATGTCATGTTTACCGTTCATCACCGGGGGGCGTTACAAACAGACAAGGCGTCAGTCACGAAAAACATTAGCCAATAGCTTCGCGTGTCATTTAACGGGTGGACCCTTTCTGTTTACTCTCTTGTCACGACCTCTATTTAAACTGTGATTTTATCGCGTTTCCCAGCAGAGCTGTGGAAGGCCCCCACCAAAACAGGTAAGTCCATCGGGTGGGCAGAGTGACGCCTATGAATACGTGCTTGTGTTTTAATGCATTCAAGTTGAAGAACACTAACAGCACACCTAAGTTTCGTCATGCTTGCTCTTATTGTTATCTTACAAGTCATGACCATAGGTTATGCATGTTACCTTAATACGGGTCAGTGCCAATAACTTAGAAGGGCGTTCAACATTACCTGATCTAGTCTCCGTTCCTAAGCTTGGCTTAAGCTGAACGTTAATCGCTACCCGATACATTTGCTTTGAAAAGTGGGCCTGGTTGTTAAGTGTTAGCTCGTCACGGTGAATGCCCAGTTCGACTGACTGACTGACTGAGTTTAGTTTTACGCCGCTTTTAGCAATATTCCAGTATCGGCGGGGAATCGACACATGGGTACAATGTGCCCATGTGGGAATCGAACACGTTTCGGCGTGACGAGCCAACGCTTTAACTACTAGGCTACCCCGCCTTCATATCGACACATGGTACAATTGCTAAACGTTTCTGGTGGCGTAATAAAAGCGGCAAATATTCAACTCACTCACCTTCAAGGCCCATCTTCAATACATGTGTGATGTTATTTTGTTTGTATGTTGTTTGAATGGAAAAATGAGTATGTGAGTTTAGTTTTACGCCGCACTCAGCAATATTCCAGCTATATGACGGCGGTCTGTAAATAATCGAGTCTGGGCCAGACAATCCAGTGATCAACATCATGAGCGTCGATTGAAGCAGTTGGGATACGATGACATGTGTCAACCAAGTCAGCGAGGCTGACCACCCGATCCCGTCCTCTCGGGTCAAGAATGGGTTGCCGGATATCAATTCTTCACGGGTTGTGAGATGTTATGACCATGATCACGAGTTTTTACAGCTAATGTTGTAATTAAGGAAAAGGCAAAGACCCTGGTGACCTAAGCAGAACCAAAACAAATTACGGATCATGAATATATTTTGAGTATAGACAATTCAGTTTTAAAAAGGGGATTTTCAGTGGTCCGTTCATATACATGTATATTTTCGCAATGGTTTTGCACTTTACACTTAATTGAATTTGTTTCTGAGGATTTGCAAGACTAGGTATTCAGTTACACTAATGTTTTATATTTCCAGATATCAACATGTTGAAATTTTCGATACTGCTGTGTCTCTTGTCCCTGGCATTTGGTAGTCCTGATTCCGGGGAAGATGAAGGCAGATCCCTTGAAGGGCAGATGGAGGCATACAAGGCTTTCAAAGCATTCGGTATGTTTGTTGAGAAGGCCAAGGATATGAAGGAAGAGGCAAAAGATAAGAAGACGATGGAAGCCTTTAAAAGCTTTGCTGCATTCAAGAAGTTCTCGATGAAGCTTGCTGCAATGAAGGGTGAAGGCGAAGGTGAAGGCAAAGGTGAAGGCGAGGGTATGGGGGAAATGAGCTTTGAAAAGAAGAAGGAAGCTTTCGAAACCTTTGTTAAATTCAAGATGTTTTTTGGAAAGATGAAAGAATCAAAGGAGCGAGAGGAAATGGAGAAGAAGAAGGAGGTTTTCAAGAAGTTCATGGAGTTTGCAAAGAAAATGCGTGGTGAGGGCAGGGGAGAGGAAGAGGGAGAGGAAGAGGGAGAGGAGAAGGAGATGCTGGAGAAGTTCCACAAGTTCATTGCTCAAATGAAGGAAAAGAAGGAGGCTGAGAAGATGGAACAACAAAACGATGATGAATATCGCCAAAACACAGAGGGGATGGACTTTGAGCAAAAGGCTAAGGCATTCAAGATGTTCGTCGCTTTCAAGAAGTTTGCCGAGAAAATGAAGGAGGCGAAGGAACAGGAGGCATTTCAAGAAAAAAAGAAGGCTTTTGAAATGTTCTGCAAATTCGTACAGTTCGTTAAGATGGCAAAGAAGGCAAAGGAGATGGGCGGTGAAATGGAAGAGAGGGAAATGGGGCAAGAAGAAAAAAAGGCTCAGTATGAGAAGTTTGAGAAGTTTGTGAAGTTCATGAAAGCAATGAAGGCTAAAGGCATGGAAGGTGCTGAAGACATGGAATTCGAAAAGAGAACAGAAGGTATGGACTTTGAGAAGAAGGCCAAGGCTTTCAAATTATTTGTTGCTTTCAAGAAATTTGCTGAGAAAATGAAGGAGGAAAAAGAGCGTGAGGCATTTGAAGAGAAGAAGAAAGCATTTGAGAAGTTTGTAGGTTTCATGAAGTTTGTCAAGATGTCAAAGATGGAAAATAGCGGTGAACAAATGGGAGACGACGAAAAAGACGACATGGATGAGAAGAAAGCAATGTTCGTCAAATTCGTAAAGTTCCTCAAAGCAATGAAGGCCAAGAAAGCCCTCGAGGAACAAGACAAGAAAAATGACATGGATTTCGAAAGAGATACACAGGAACTCTCCTTCGAGCAGAAGGCAAAGGCATTCAAAATGTTCGTTGCATTCAAGGCGTTTGCCGGTAAGATGAAGGCAGCAAAGGAAGAGGAAGAAATGCAGCAGAAGAAGAAGGCTTTCATGATGTTCGCCAAATTCGTAAAATTCGTCAAGGCGATGAAGCAGATGAAGAGTCAGATGCAGGGTGGAGATGAGAGGGGCGAAGGGATGGACGACAAAGGTATGGATTATGAAGAAAAAGCCAAGGCCCTCGAGAAGTTCAAGAAATTTCAGGAATTCATGAAGTATGCTGAGATGAAAAAGGAGGGGAAAGATGGCGAGGATGACGGGATGTACGCCATGTGGCAGAAGAAGATGGAGGTCCTCCAAGGGATGGAGAAGCAGAGAAAGATGATGGAATTCATGCAAGATTTTGAGAAGAAGAAGCACGAAGTCGCTTTCAAAATCACCCATCAATTCACCCAGCTGTGCCAGTGCGCTGAAATCAGTGACCAGATGTCAATGTAAGTTTTTCATCACTCACTCACTCTCTCACTCAGATTTTCACAACAGTTGTTTGTTTCGAAATTACACTAGTGTTTCTCCTTAGATTCACCGTACGTCACAGACAGATTATTTGGCTCCTCATTCATCAGGTCTCGAGATTGTTTTTGTAGTTCATGCACATTGAAACTGTTTCACTCAGGTTCATATTGAAAGCGTAACAACACAAAGTTACTTTACACTTTCTATTCTTAATTTTGTTGATGTTTTTACCAGGATGACGGGCCAGAGAGGCAACAACGCCTCTGTGAACGGCACAGATTTGATGACTGGAATGGGCAACATGAACCAGACAACAGGATTAAGCGAAATGGAGGCAGTTCAAATGGCAAAGAAACTGAGGGCCATGACAAAGGAACAGCAGGTGAAGGTTTTCATGGCTGGGCTCATCAAATCTGTATGTGGAGGAGCCAAGGTATTTGTGCAGCAGGCCAAAAGATTCCAGGAAACGTACTTGAGCGACATGGACAATTATGAGACTACAACCCGCGCTGGCTTCTTCACAAGCTAGGGTAAGTAGCACGTCTTTTTGATGACATGTTTTAAGTTAATCTAAACCGATATGAAGCGGGGAAGTTGTGAACTACAAAACCCCAAACCATTAAGTATCCCGCAAGGTGGTATTTAATCACCATTCCACGACATTATTCCCATTGTTTTCGGCAGCGTCGTCCTTGAGCAGTGCCGCGTGTTTGTATGATGCCATTGTATTGTTTGGTCGTTTATTACTTCTGCAATGGAATGAGAGCTTGACAGAACTGGGTGAAATTAGGGAGACTCGCCCGTTTCGGTCGATTTGAGAAAACAAAAGCCATTTCAGGAAAATCTGTTAATGACCAAATACCCTTTTTGACATTTCTTCCATACTTAATATTTTATGGACATCGCGCTTAGCAAACAAATATGTTTTATCTGTACATTTAAGAGGTATTCGTCACCAAATTAAACAAAAAGGGACATCCCTTATCAACAGTCCAAGTAGATTATCCTCAGTACTATTAATTATCATTGTAAGAAATCGTGATGGAAAGCGTATGGAATTCCGTGATATCATAATGTATGTATGTATGTATGTATGTATGTATGTATGTATGTATGTATGTATGTATGTATGTATGTATGTATGTATGTATGTATGTATGTATGTATGGTGGATGTATGTGTGGATGTATGTATGGAAGGATGGGGATGGTCTTTGGATGGGTTGGTGGATGGATGGATGGATGGTGGATGGTGGATGGTTGGTGGATGGGTTGGTGGATGGATGGATGGATGGCTGGGTTGGATGGATAGATGGATGGTTGGTGGGTGGATGGATGGATGGATGATGGATGGTTGGTGGATGGAAGGATGGTGGATGGGTGGTTGGTGGATGGATGAGTTAGTGGATGGATGGGATGTGGTGGATAAGTTGGTGGATGGCTTGGTGGATGGATGGATGGATGGATGGGTTGGTGGATAGAGTGATGGGTGATGGATGGGTTGGTGGATGAATGGATGATGGCTGGCTGGCTGGATGCATGTATGTGATGAACAACCTCTGCGTGGTGACTATTATACATTCTACATTTTCCTTTCAGCCTGACTGGTGTACACAACGTCGACATCGTGACCGACGACGGCGATCCAGCTAGTCCGTTACACACACTATGCTGCTCAATGACGACAACGTGAAGATATCATCATGTGTTACTAATTTTGTAATAAAAAATGAACATCAGTTTGCCAGTTGTGTTAATATTTACACTGAAATGCACACACAAGTGAATGAGTGAGTAAACATTGTTTCATCACACTTGGGAATATTCCTGCTATATGAACGGGCACACTATCGGAATATGATCGGAATATTTTCGATTTAAGTGGGTTTTGTAAGAATAAAACTCTTCTGATCGGAACATTCTCAACTCGTGACAAAATACCTTAAAATGAGTTTAAACAAACAAACAAGCAAACAAACATGCAAACAAATGAATAAATAAATAAAAAGGCTTAATCCAATCGTAGGCGAAGGTGAGGTGAAATTGGGTTTAACGTCGTACTTGAAAATATTTCGCTCATATGAAGACGTGTATGCGTGTGTATGTGTGGCTACTCAAAGAGTTTATACGTTTATAATAATGACCTTTGTTCTTACAATGAAAATTCATACTACTCAGAATAAATTATTTAAATTATTGATAACATATGCCTCTCTTTGTTTAATTTGGTCCCAACAGTAGACTACTAGTTATGAACAGTTATTACACTCATGAAATAAATAGTGAACAGTTGTTTCAGCCAAGGAACCCATTATATACAGTTGCTTCAGTAATTTCAGTAATCAGACAATTAAAACATTTACTTCACTCATGCAACTATTTATAAACATTTACTTTACCCATGGAACATATTAAAACCCTTAACTTTACTCATCTAACACAATTTAAAACATACACAATTACTTTTGCCATGGAAGAAATTATAAACATTAAATTAAGTCATGGAACTAATTGTCAGCATTAGCTTTACTCACGAAACAGAATATAACAATTTACTTTAGTCATGGAACTAATTATAAACATTAATTGTAGTCGTGGAAATAAATAAACATTAGGTTTAGTCATGGAACTGGTTAGCTGTATTTAATTTTGTCATGGAACTAATTATATACCCCAGCTTTAGCCAATTGAACTAATTGTAAACATTTACTTTCGTCATGGAACAAACTATATACATGTACGTTACTCATGTAAAATACAGATATTTACTTTCGCCATGGAACTAATGATAATCATTTTCTTTAGTCATGGAACTAATTATAAACATTAACATTAGTTGTGGAACAAATTATAAACATTCACTTTAGTCATGGGAATATATACACATTACGTTTAGTCGTGGAACTAATTACATACATTTACTTTAGTCATGGAATTAATTATAAACATTAGGTTTTGTTAACTAGCAAAATATAGACATTTTCTTTAGCCATGGAACTGATTATAAACAAAAACCTTAGTAATGGAACAAATTATAAACATTTACTTTCTGCATGGAACAAAATATATACAGTAGAACACGGATATAACGAACTCCAAGGGACCAAGAAATTTAGTTCGCTATATCCGTTGTTCGTTATTCACATTTGACCGCCATCTTGGATTGTAGAGATGAGGACATTCACAGACATTACCTATATCATGTTGATAAATATGAAGTTTATTTTTATAATAAAATTGAAATAATACAACTACAACTTAAATAAATTTATTTTATTTTTTAATGAAAATGCAAGGTTGTTGAATGGGTTAAACACGATATGTTTGTTTTGTTAATTAATTAATGACCATCAATCAATGTTGATTCACCACCAACAAGATTGATGTATACTGTACCGCTAAGTGGCTGAGCTGACACTGAGTGAGTTCGCTAATCACGTCCTTAATTGGGTCTTGGGGGTAGTAAATCAGTTCGCTATAGCCGTTAATTCGCTACTCACGAGTTCGTTATTCGCGTATAATTTTAATGATATTATAAAGGACTGTTGACGGGACTTTTAAATTTGTTCGCTATATCCGTTTGTACGCTATATCCGTGTTCTACTGTACATTATTCATGGAATAAAATATAGACATGTTTCCTTTCGCCATTTAAACATATCACATTATTCTTTAGTTAAAGAACAAATCATAAAAGTTTACTTAAGTCATGGAACTATTTGTAAACATTTACTTTATTCATCTAACAAAATGTAAACATTTACTTTAGCCATGGAACTAATTATAAACATTATTTTTTGTCGTGGAAATATATAAACATTAATAGTCATGGAACTGATTAGATATATTTCCTTTTGTCATGGAACTAATAATATACCCTAACTTTAGCCATGGAACAAATAATAATTTAAATAATAACTTTAGTTATGGAACAAATTGTAAAGATTTACTTTCGTCATGGAACAAACTATACACATTAACATTTCCATGTAATAAAATATATTCATGTATTTTCGTCATGGAACTAATTATAAACGTTTACTTTAGCCACGGTACTAACTATAAACATTAACTTTCGTCGTGGAAGAAATTATGAACATTAAATTTAGTCATTTAACAGAATATAAACATTTACTGTAGTTATGGAACTAATTATAAATATTAACTTTAGTTGTGGAACAAATCATAAATATTTTCCACTTTAGCCATGGAAATAAATAAACATTAAGTTTAGTCATGGAACTAATTATATACATTTACGTTAGTCATGGAATTAATTATAAACATTAGGTATAGTCAACAAGCAAAATACAGACATTTACTTTAGCCATGGAACTGATAAGGAACAATAACCTTAGTAATGGAACAAACATTTACTTTCGGCATGGAACAAAATATATACATTAACACTACTCATGACATAAAATATAGACATGTTTCCATTCGCCATGGAAACTTATTATTAACATTTTCTTTAGTCAAGGCACAAATTATAAACATTTACTTTAACCTTGAAACACCACATATCTTATTTATTTTTATTGTAGGATATTTATATAGTGAGTGAGTGAGTTTAGTTTTACACCGGTTTTGGCAATATTGCAGCAATATCACGGCGGGGGACACCAGAAATGGGCTTCAGACATTGTACCCATGTGGGGAATCGAACCCGGGTCGTCGGCGTGACGAGCAAACGCTTTAATCACTAGGCTACCACGCCGCCCGGATATTTATATAGCGCACATATCCACGCAACAAGTACACGCTCAAGGCCCTGGGTTTTTTCCCCCTCTAACATTAGATGTCAACCTCAACGGCACATCGTATTATCAATCTCCTTGGGGAGCATACAACTCGTGCAGCTACTAGGCGCACCAAGTTAACGTTGCTTTCCCATCTTTACCAGGTACCCATTCGCAGCTGGGTGGACTAGGGCACACAGTCACAGTATTTGTCCCAAGTTTTACTGCACGTTGCTGTACCCGCAACTAGGTGTTTGCACGTATTCATGTGGCCACAACCTTGTCAGTTACCAACGGATTAGTGGGTTCTTTTAAGTGCACAGGGTTGTGTACTGTACACTTGGGATTGTGACAACACTGAAAGAGTCTGCACATAAAGTTGACTCCAAGGTTTTTACACCCGGTCACAGGTGGGCTCGATCCCGACACCTCAACCTCGCTGGATCACTAGCCTGGAGCCCACCATGCCCCCAAATATATTAGCCATTGAACAAATTATAAACGATAACTCTAGTAATGGAACAAACTATAAGCAATATCCTTACTCATGGAACCCAATACTAGCATTTACTGTAGCCTTGGAACTACTTATCATTAGTTTTCTTAGTCATGGTAATTATATTATTTGCCTAAGTCATCATGCTGAATTATTTATCCAAGATTATCCAGAGCTGTATGTCTCCATTCAGTTTATGAATTACTAGTATTCAATAACAGCCCTCGCTATACTCGCCATTACGGCTTCCCACGGAGTTGGTTCGAATTACCAGATAAAAATAGCTGTCTGATACACGATTTTGGTGACTGACACAAGTCGCGATATCACCATTGCTCGACTCGTCTTGTCGAGTACCGTCTTAAATACAACCTTGGACCTGAACAGAGTGACGTTGGGTCAAAATAGGGGTCAGGTGGATGCACAACAGAGGTTAAATAAACACATCGTGTACATACCAGGACGGTGGGGTAGCCTAGTGGTTAAAGCGTTCGAAATGTGTGAAGCCAATTTTGGGTGTCCCCTGCCGTGATATTGCTGGAATATTGCTGAAAGCGGCATAAACCTAAACTCACTCACTCTTGTGCATATCAGCTACTTTCAAACTATACCCTTTCGAGGGATTATGGTTGGATCTATATTTTTATTAACATTTTTACTACCAGAGTCCCTTTTGCATTATGAGACTTACATCTAGAGCAAAACTGATATGGTGATATCGTTACGGAAGTTACAAGAACATACATCATTGCTTGATTTAGTATGTTTTTACACCTTTCACACTTTATTTAAAGGAATTGATAGGGATAAACAACCATCCAGTGATAACAATTAGAGAAAGACATAACTGGGCTAGTACAATAGAATTCTAGTGTATTATAATACACTTAACTGTGAGTCTGGGAAGCGTCAAACAAAGAGCGGTAGAATGCCCATTGTTCATGAAATTTATTCTATTCACTTTATCCAAAGATATATGTTTTTTACATATATCTATTTTTTATTTCATTCTGAAAATTCTTTAAAGATGGTTTTATTTTCTTCCATTTACATTTATGAAAAAAGTTGATAGCATTAAAGTCAAATCCAAAACACGATCAGTTTCTTTTTTTTCAAACAAAAATAGCTCTGCAATCAAGGTCATGTTGCAAATATGAACGCAGGTGTTTGTTATTCAGAGAAGTAAATTCTTCCAAAAATCCTTGACTTCATGACACTCCCCCAAAATATGCAAAATACTTTCTTACTCTGAGCTGCTGAAACTGTTCAGTGAACTCTCTGCCTTACATATTCAATATAGTATACATTTGTAGGTATAAATCTTTGCAACAGCCGGGTTAGAATTGATCGTCAGTAACCCATGCTTGTCGTAAGAGGCGACTAACGGGATCGGGTGGTCAGGCTCGCTGACTTTGTTGACACATGTCATCGTATCCCAGTTGTGTAGATCGATGCTTATGCTGTTGATCACTGGATTGTCTGGTTCAGACTCGATTATTTA